TTTATTTTTCTGTTTGTATTTACAGTCACCGCCCTGCAGGGGGCGCACCGAATACCACAAACAAATATTTATAAATTATACAATAAATACAGAAACTGATGAAACTGATCAACCTGCCCCCGAGTAAGGCACTGAAGATCATCAACAACTAGATTCAGATGGAAACATCTAGACCAGAACAAAAACAGCTGGACTGAAAAAGAAACATCCAGACCGAAACATCTGCACCTGAACGAAAACATCTGGACCAAAATGTAAACATCTGGACTGAAACAAAATATCTGGACAGAAATGGAAACATCTAGACCAGAACAAAAACATCTGGACAGAAACTGAAACATCTGGATTGAAACTTAAACATCTGGACTAAAACAAACGTCAGGCCTGAAATATATGAACTGAAACATCTGGATTAGATCACAAACATCTGGACCAAAATATCTGGACAGATACTGAAACATCTGGATCAAAACTAAAACAACAGGACTAAAATAAACATTTGGGCTGAAACATCTGGACCAGAACACAAACAGCATCTGGTCTAAAACAATCATCTGGCCTGAAACTGGAACATCTGTCATGAAACTGAAACATCTGGACTAAAACACACATTATAACCCAATTATGAAACATGTGGACTGAAACTGACATCTGGTCTGGATCAAAACTTTTTACTGGAAACATCTGGACTTTGACTGAAACATGGGCAAAAACACAAACATCTGTATCTAGACCAGAACATCAGAATTTCTGCAGGTTTAAACCATTTTAAACAAAAACTGATCGACTGAATGTTTCCTCAATAACCATCAAACAGGAAATTAGGACCAACAAGAAATCCCTGCATGATAACAGGAAGTCCCTGCATGATAACAGGAAGTCTCTTCTTGATGACAGGAAGTCTCTTCTTGATGACAGGAAGTCCCAACTAGGAGACACACAGCTGATCTGAGATCAGCTGATCATTTGGTGTCAAACATGGGACCTCTGGTTCGCCGCCTCGTCTTTAAGGCAACAAAGTTCAGTTAACGTTTTAAATCTCCCATCACTGACTGGTCTGCTGCTGATCGTCAGTCCTCGTGGTGCGTTCAGGGACACTCTGACATCAGACTGTCAGGTCCAGAACAGAAATAGTTCTAGTACCGGATCAATGAAATCACGCCATTCAACAACAAACAAAAGATGAAACCAGGTTTGGGATCTGAGCTGGTTCTGGTTCCTGCAGAGTCTTGACTTCAGACAAGTGTTAAACCAAATGGGTCAGAACCGGGTCGTTCAACTCAGGTTCTTGTTTGGTTCTTTGACCAGTTTTAGACCCAAAATCAAAGATAACTGGATTCACTTTTAGACCTCAAACGTAAAC